CCGCAAGAAGCTTCTTGGCCCGGTCAATGACGTCCTGGTTATAGCCGAAAGACGAATGCAGGGCCTCCGGTTTCTCCAGCAATGCGGGGTTCTCGAGGAGACTGAGTACTTGACGGAAGAAGGTGATGGGTTTCTGATCCAGCTGCTGGGGGTTGCCAATATTGGCGAAAATGACACTGTCGAAGGGCAAGGACTTGTCTCCCTTGGCCAATCTCACACGGTACTCCTCCGCCTTGACGGCAAGCTCACCACGGACAGCATACTTGGCTGCCTTGACGTTGGGATTGATATTATCGGCACGGAGTCGACGAGGGCCGAGATCAGAAGCGGTCCGCTTGGTGGTATATGGCACGGTCATGGTGGTTTCTGCGATTGTTCGCGACTACGGGTCAGTTTTCTATGGTAATTGCGGCCCCTCGAGATCAACCCATGCATTATGTACCTAAGACACGAACGATTGACTCGAAGGTGGGGTGGGTACGGAGTAAAATGGATGCATTTGTCACGAGATGAGGGGAAGGGACGTGGCCGTATGCCAAGTGCCCGTCCACACATTTATTGCCTCAAATCGAACGAACATTCAATGACGGTTCATGGTTGGCTGATCGGACGATCTTTCGGGGCCAAACGGAGCTAGGGACAGTCTCCCGAAAGCAAGACGAAACGTACCTGGAGAGGTCCTGGGGCTGGAGACCCCCGCGGGTAGCCCTGCCGCACAGCAGAAAGCCTGGCGGCGCGGCAACCGAATAATCGGCCGGGAAACTGAACGGCCCAAGGCCAGCGGAGATGCCCGCATGTGAGATGCGAGCCTAAGCTGCCAGGTCATACTGCGCTTCTGGTCTTAGCCGGTCTATGGAATGGCTTCCTCTTCTTTTTGTTTCCGTCGCCGCACGTGGGATGCGAAGAAAGACCTAACAGTAGCGCCTTGCGCTCTTCCTCTGCAGACAGGATACAGAGTAGAGAGAGCAAAGGGAAAAAGCAAAAAGACCGTCTGGGAAAATTGACCCCCAATCTGCGGAAAAACACGCGGTGAGCGAATTTCTGCAGGCGGTGAGTTAAACGGTCTGGCCATCGTGGGCTCGCTGACTCAGCGCCGTCTTCCGCGGGAATCATCGGAGCTGGATTTACTTTACAGATAGAGGTATTGGGTAATAGTTTGCCAAATTATGGGGTATACCATCGAGTCATCAACCTGCTATTGCTTTTGGACCAGAATTTACATCTACCGGGTGCTGTCCCGGTGCTGGAATCCAGCATCGGAGCAGCCCGGGGTTCATCTGAGGTTGAGTTCAGGCATTCTGCACCTCGATCCTTCGTAGCCTCATAAACACCTAATTAGGAAAACAAAAGGAAAGTGGTCGAAGAGATGTCCTCTATTCTGAAACATGGTTGGATCCTAGCTATGCAATGTATGCTGCTCGCCACCCAATAACCATTCGTACCACGGTGAATCCAGTCTACAATGATGTTGACAGTATTAAAACTGATTACATCGCAAGCGTATACATATGGCCCATGCTAAGAGCTTCAGCTTCTAGAAGGTGCTTCTGCAGAGCGAGTTCGGTCTGAGTCCGACGAGTGTTGACTCGGCATGTCCCCTACTGCCTGACAATATTGCTACAATGATACCTTATTAGACTGGTGCCACATAGTGGAGTATTATGATGGTATTTGAAGTTACTCTACCTATATGCCTACAATGTGGCAAGGCGCCTCCTCGATGAACCAGATTCGTTCACCGATGTATGGGAGTCCGGTGTGAACATGACTGGCGCTATGCTGACACCTCGTTGACTTGACGAACCCAAGATATCAGCGGTCAATGCAATTACAAATCACTAAGCTCATTAATTGTCCACTAGATCAGACCATATCATGCGATTAGATCATGTTGTCTTCGGTCATTAGTTGTATGATACAGCAGCCTCGCTTGCTTTTGCTCTATCAAATTCAAAAATAGACAGACATCAATCGCTGCATAGTCCAAACGATCAAGTTCACCGCGTCAATGACTAGGGATAATCGTAATGTGCCACCAGACCATTTCTCTAGCTCCGTTCGCTCCCCCGTAGCCGCACAGCCTGGCCGTACTTCTGAAGCTTCGTGATGAGGGCATCACCATGCTTGACCAAATCAGCATACTGCTTGTTCTTGTCGTCAGGCCGGTTGGTCTCAATGATTCCATTCACGCGGTCGATTGTGCACGCAATACGGTTGCTGGCAATAAACTTGGCCAAATCCCTGCATTCACAAATTAGTCATTGTATGATTAAACATAACTGGTCGCATCTTACCGATCCAGGAAGTCGACAGTGACGCCAAAGTCATTTGCCATGCTGTTCAACCCAACCACCCGGTAACTTTGAAGCAGCTGCTGGTAGGCGCGGAGTCTCATCTCCCGAACGAACCAGGCCCGGTGCTCGTACAGGTACCGGTCCTGCGTGAGGAAATTATCTTCCACAGCCGCCAATGCCCGGAAAAATGTCCGGTAGTTGCCGCTGTAAAGGCTAGCAACCAAGTTGGCGAGAGGCGAAAAGTCAACGGGGGCTTCTGTCTCGGCCTGGAGGCCAGAACCTGTTCCCAAGGTGGTCAGGTTGATTGCGGTGGTGGCGGTGCCTGGAGTGGCCGTAGAAACCGATGCATCCTTCATCTCCTCATCCCGAGCACCTTCTCCAGCGGAGATCTCACCCGTCAGAGCAGCCAACCTGTCCTCCCCAGCTCCGAGGATTGCCTTGATTTCAGGGGCGTCCACGACCTTTGCTTTGAAGTCTACTCGCTTGAGCGACAATGAGCCCGCGAGGACCGAATAGATGACCAGGGCAGAATAACTGCACAGCTCGTAACTCGTGAATGTAGATAGACTATCGAGCAGAAGAGGAGCCGCGAGGTTGTAGGAGCGAACAGTGAGTAGATGGAGGCCCTTGTAGGCCTTGAGACGATTCCTCCGGTCCCAGTCACCACCACTCTCGATCAGAGTATCCGCCTTCTCGATATTCTTCTTGACGGACACGACATCGCCAAAGAAGAGCCCAATTCGAACCATGGCAAGAACGAGATCAATCTTGGTTCCGAGGAACGATGTCTTCTCGAGGAGCGCTTCGTGTGACTCGATAGCTTTGTCCTAGAAGATACGACAAATTATTAGTATTTCAACCACTGACAAGCCTCATTGATAAGCTGCGTTATAAAATTGTCCACGCACCTTATCTCCTACCCGTGCCCAGAATTCGGCACGCTTTCCCCGTGCGGCCAAGACCTCAGTCTCACCAGCTGCTTCTTCAGCCTGGTCTTCTTCCTTCTGGAAGGCTTCCAGCTCTTTCTTGTTATCCTCAACCAAAGACTGGTACAGCGCTTCATCCCATGGGAAATCGATCTTCTGTGATGGTTTCCGAGACGCCAGCAAGTTGGACGTGATCAAAGGCTTGTTCGACCCGTGGGTGCTGTGCTGAGTTACACCTTCGCCAGAATGGTTCAGAATGCCTTCAACGGGATGTGCAAGGTGTCGGTAAAAAGGAGCCATCTTATGCTCTGAGATGGCATCCTGAATTCTCTTCAGCGACGTCTGTCGTACTGTCTGGGAGCATGATGGGTTGGAAAGGTTGAAGACATGCTGGGCGAGGGTGAGATCAGGGAACTTGATGTACTGCGGATCAGACCCCATAATGGCGACGGGATAGGGGAAATTATGATGGGAGATAGAGGTGGACGAGGGAGAGAATGGCGGAAATAGGTCTTCGTGAGTAGTAGCGATGCTTGTGTAGGTAGGTCTGTTGACGGGAATCTGGTCGCAGCAGATACATCACGTAACGTAGCTGAGCTCAGCTGGATCAAAGAAATTCCGTTCCGAGACAACTGTTGTCCCCCATCGCTGTTCGAATGCATACTGAATATTTGGCAATTGCTACTCCGTATACTATTGAAGAATAAAAATTGACTAGATAAAAACATTCATTTCTTACTGGTGAGCCGACGCCTCTATTTGTGTTTTTGAGCGTGTACCTTCGACTTCAACTATGCGTTCGGTTATTCCACAACTGTTCTATCCGGCAATATATTTCCAAGCTGCCCGTCCCTAAATTCGATGCTAAGTATATGCGTATGATACTGCTGGTGTTCCAACGGTCGGTCTTAGATGCATATATATAGCTTGGCAACTTGCTCATTCTAAGCCTCTGACCTCTGATACTACTTGAGAACTCCATAGTGTGAATTTCCGCGCCGCCACGAGCCGTAAGTGCTGAGCTTATAGGCTTCGGCTTCACAGAGCTGACGCTGATGATACGAGTGGGCATCGTTGGCATGGGGAATGTCCTGATAGAAAGTTCCAAGACCGACACATGATACAAGCGTTGTTTATTGTCGATATGTTGAGCGTCAAAACCAATCCTATGCCTAACACCAAGAATATTTCCATGAACCTTGGGCAGAAGCAAGGTACTGTGTGATTATGACAAGGATTAAACACCTACTGGGTGGGCTGTCTGCCTCCGGTCTTATTTTTGCCCCAGGTTGATAGTCGCTAATAACCACAACTTACCCCCGGTGTCCGACTAGAAGAATCAACTTCTCTGAGGACAGGGTCTTCGAGATGATCTATTATGTCAATGGTCACAGCGAGAGTACGCAGTTTGTTGTTCCTAGAATCCTAAGAAGCATGCGCTTACGGTCAGACTAGTAGATCAGTACGACAATATCCAATGCATCTGCGATCTGTACTCATCTGTAGGTAGTGACCTGCGTTGCCGATACTCCGAGTAGATAACGCATATACGGAGTAGCTCTACGGCATCGCGTGAAAGCGCGGCACATGGCCACATGCTCTGTTTCATGTTCGAATGGATTCGACGGACTTCAGATTGATTGGGTGGGCGTCCAATAGCAATACAAATTGAGGGGTGAACCAACTCACCTTAAGGCAAAGCTTAGCCCGTCCGCTAAGAAAGTGGCCCCACTATATCCACCTCGATACTACGGTATCTCACAAGATTAACTGCCGTTGGACAATGAAAGCCAACGCTTCCAACTAAGCTGCACAAGGCTGGGAAACGGGTAATGGATTCAGAATGGCGCATATTTAGTGGCTAGAATCGGTCTTTCGAGATGCGTTTCTCACACCGTGCCCCTTTAGGGCGATTCTGCTTCCTCTTTCCAGCCTTGGACCTTCTTCTTTCCCTCACTTTTTCTTCTGCACGCTCCTCTTCAGTGTTCCATTTTATCCCCTCCTTTTCTTCTAAGGTAAAAGGTTTGGGAAAGTAACTTAGAGCTGTTGGCGCAATCCTCGTGTCAACAAGGAAATCTATCTATACCCTCGTTCCCTTCCGGCCCCCACTTCTAAGCAACCATTCTTGCGCTGTTGTAAACCCGTCTCCAAGTCCAGACTGCTACACCACGCGCTGAAAGACGATGGCTTTCAAGGGAGACGCTCAACCATCTCCTGCGATGACTTCTGAAAAGGTCTCGAACTCTCTTGATCCAATACCCATCGAAGAGATACCGCTGGAGAATACGCAGAAAAGCCGCTGGGAGCGCAGTTGGCCAACCATTGCTTGCGGCGCCGGTCTCTTTTCTGATGGCTATCTCAATGGAGTATGTAGTACGCTCGGTTCTCAATACCATATCCAATTGGCCACCAAAGAGAGTGCTTACTGACTTTGTCACTTAGGTCATTGGGCCGGTCAATACCATGCTAAGCAAGATTTACCCTGACACGTACAAAAACTCCCCTGCCAGCAGGAATGTCTCTTCCATCGTCTTCGCAGGGACCGTGCTTGGTCAACTTATTTTCGGTTATGTCAGTGATCATTGGTCTAGGAAGTGGGCTTTGATGGTCTCCACGGTGATCTTGATCATTTTCAGCGCGCTCTCTGCCGGCTCCTACGGAGCTCATGGTAGCCAAGCTGGTTTGTTCGCCGCTCTGACCGCGTATCGGTTCTTCCTAGGAATCGGAATAGGTGGGGAGTATCCTGCAGGCAGTGTAGCAGCAGCGGAAAGCACGGGTGAGCTGAAGAGCGGCCATCGCAATCGCTGGTTCATCATGTTCACGAACTTCCAGATTGACTTTGGATTCGTGGTCTCTTCTCTGGTTGCTATGATTTTGATGTTGATATTTACCGAGAACCACATGCGTGCTGCTTGGCGTGTGGCTCTAGGACTAGGCGTCATTCCGCCTCTGAGTCTCTTCTACTTGCGATTGAAGTTGGACGAGCCGGAGGAATTTAACAGGCAACGCATGCACAAGTTCCCTATTTGGTTAATTGTAAAGTAAGGCCACTGACATCTATTCTTGTCCTTTCCTTCACAGTTGTTGACCGTGTCTCTACGCAGGTACTACTGGAAGCGCCTGGTTCGGCCCCCTTCTCCGGCCCTTCGCATGGCCTTATAGCTAACTATGGCAGCTTGTGGTTTCCCTAATTTGGTTCATCTATGATTTTTCGGCCTATTCGTTCGGCATCTACTCGTCCGAATGGCTTTCAATCATTCTGGGCGACAGCGCTCCTCTCTGGAAGACTTTTGGGTGGAGCACAGTCACCAATCTTTTCTACATCCCAGGTGCTTTTTTGGGTGCACTGACGAGCGACTGGATCGGTCCGCGCAATACGCTGGCTCTCGGAGTTGCCCTACAGGGCATCGTCGGCTTTATCATGGCGGGCTGCTACGTATATCTTCGGGAGGCAAAGAATGTTGCTGCGTTTGTTGTTGTCTATGGCATCTTCTCGTCTCTCGGTGAATTCGGACCTGGGGACAACATCGGTTTATGTGCTGCAAAGACCAGTGCAACTTCCATCCGTGGCCAATACTACGCGATCGCAGCCGCATTTGGCAAGATAGGCGCTTTTGTTGGCACTTATGTGTTCCCGATAATCCAAAATAACGCTCCCAATGCCGTGCGCCAAGGACAAGATCCTTACTTTGTCAGCAGCTCGTTATGCATCTTCAGCGCATTCCTGGCCTACTTCATGCTGCCACATATTGGGCAGGTATGTGCTTGGCTCGAACATGGACTTCGTCCGCTATCATTCTAGGACAAGTCACTGACACTGCTTCTCAGGATACAATTACCGAAGAGGACGCCAAGTTCCGTGCTTACCTCGAAGCTCAAGGTTATGATACCTCAACTCTGGGAAATGACCGTGCACAACAATGATCCATCTTCTGTCTGCTATACTTACCATTCAGCATCGTATCTTCCGCACACCGCCATCGCCCATTAATCTGCCCACTCACTGAGGCCCAATTTCCTTTTGCCAGCCAGCCCTCTACCGCAGCCAATAACCGAAGATCTGCCCGCGACACTGAACCAAAGTCATCTTAGCCACGAGTTCGGTAGGATTGGAAAGTCACCGTGCCCCCCAAGCGACCTGCCAGCGAGTTACTTCGAGGCCCGAGCAGCGTAACAGCCCAATACCCGAAAGAAAGTCTATTGGTAGAAAAATCTGTCCCGTGCTGACATTTCCATGGGTTGACTCGGCTGCGTAGCCAGAGACTTGCGATTGTCACCTGCACGATGTACTATACCTCTAAGCATTGGTCTCCAGAAAATATGGCACACGATGACTCAATTCATGTCAACCACTTTGCATGACCCGTATGCCGTTCATCTGGTGTTCGGTCAGCTCACATAGCTTGGATGCTCTGACCTGAATCAGTCAAAGCAGATAATAGAGCTGTCACGTGCCGGAGATGCAAAGCACGAGTGGGCTGAAGTAGAATTACATGCCGGTCTGCTGGCGTAATACCTAGCATCTTTCTACATTATTTTTGTCCATGATGCAGATATGATTACGTGTGTTGTGCACTGCCTGACAAAAGGAGTATCGTGAAACATAGATTAATTGCTTGATAGCTTCGGTTCACAGCTCGGAGTGTGATTTCCATACTCCAATTCTCCACAAGACCAGGTGCTGGATGAACCGAGGTTGATGGTGACAGACGGCGGGTGCATTCCTGGGGTTTCATTTGCCGACCGTGATCCGTCCTTCCCCAGACTGCCATTCCGTATCCTTCCTACTGATTTCTCCCCGTCTTTCCTTTATTCTTCCTTTGTTTGTGGGGTTTTTGTCTCCGTCTTGCTATTTCTCTTCATAAATCTCGCTTTTTTGATCATATCAGCTGGCCTGTCATCTTCTTAGTGGCACCTTACCCTCCCAAAGACCGATAATCGGAGTATCCGCCCAGGAGTAAAACGTCGAGAACGCTCAAGTTTTCATATTTCCAAAATGGTTGCAGACGCTCTGGTTTATCACCCTGCTTTGGCGCACTACTTGCGCTTTGTCGCGACAACTGGTACGTCGTTATCCTGCACCTTGATCAGGAGAGGGGATCGGGAGTAAACGCGGAACACCAGTCGACGTACCGTTAACGGTCCTCTCGCAACCCGGTTTTATGACCCTCAAAGAAGAGACGGTTGCTAATGATTCACAGTCGGTCGTGACAAGATCCTGCGTACTCTGCAATACTTCTCCCGTTTCTACGCCTGGTACCTTTACCGCACCAACCGCCCCAGTCCGCCATCAATCCCTACAATGCCATCAAGAAGCAGTTCGGCACGACACGAAAGATCCTCAGAATTGGAAAATTCGTGGAGCATCTCAAGGCTGCCGCGCTTGCCGCTGACAACAAGAGTCCCATCGATCCTGTGCTTCGGTACCTCGCCATCGGCCGCCAGCTCGGTTATGCCGGTTACCTGACTCTCGATACCATCACTGTTGTCGACGTGATCGGTGTTAAGAAGCTTGCTGCGGCCAAGCGGTTGCAAGAGTCTGCCTACCGCTCTTGGATGGCAGGCTTGGCCTGCAGCGCTGTCGCTGGAGTTTACACTTTGTGGAGGCTGCAGGAGAAGGAGAAGACACTCGACCGTAAGGAGGGAGAGGGTGTCGTAGAAGCCAAGAAGCTCGAGAAGTATGTTATCTGGCCTCAATCCTGTTTGGTAGTCATGGTGTACTAACGGCTATCAGGGAACGTGCCGCCGCCCGTATCCAGCTGATCTCCGACCTGTGCGACTTGACCGTTCCCATCTCTGCGCTTGGCCTCGCCTCCCTCGATGATGGTATTGTCGGCATTGCCGGTACTATCAGCAGTTTGATCGGAGTGTGGGCGCAGTGGCGTAAAACCGCATAGATGAATGCGATCGATTGCCGTTCTCACTGAGCGGATGAAGTCAGCTCTTAAGTGAGGTACGGAGTAGTCTTGACTTGTTCCGCCAAGATTGTGCGAGTCATACACTTATGGATTCAGGTCCATCGTGTCCGAGCAGCGCGATGAGTGAGTGTTTGAAAGAGAGGGAATTCCCTGCCTCAGACGAGGTTTTTATTCACAAATTTGGGTTTCTTGAGCTCAATTGACGGTTGAAGCCACGTCCCGCTACCCGTTGTCTTTCATGAACGTATGTAACTTTTATCGAATACACCTTTTTCTTTCATGCTACATAGTTATCAATGATATGCATTAGGCTTCATACCCTGTTTTCTGGTGATCGTTGGCTCAGCCTTGAATGATATATCTCGCTGTTGCAGAGATCTATCAGATGCTACTCCGTAGACACATGCAGCTTTTCTTATGTTTTGTCCGCATCATGTGAAACGGGGGTTTTCACATGCGGATACTTGCGTCATGCCTGAGGTGTCGACGGGTACTGGCGGCGGATGCCAACATTGTTTTTGTGTATTGGAGTTACTCTTTCGTCACTACTTTATCCTCACCTGTGTCACTGTCAAGTGGATTCGATCATACTGATTTGAGCAGTTAAACAACGATTATTTCACGTTGTAATACGACATGTGACTCTAGGTTCTTTTCCCTCATCGGGGTTTTAGAGTGGGACGCCAAAAGGATCACTCAGGGATAGGTTACATTGGCTGATTGCTATTGCAGGCTATTGATAATCCATCAGCTCCACCATAATAGTTTCTTTTTTCGGTGAGTATTAACTAGCCAATTGAAGGTGAGGCGTCATGTCTTTGCTGAGAATGGTTAGAGCGACGCTGATAGACTCAAGCTCGAGTTTCACTCTCGGCATGCCGCAACTAGTATGTCGAGTATGTCGGTTTACCACAGGACGGGCCATAGACGACGATGAAGCATACCAGCTCAAGAACTTCTCGACCCCTAGGGATTTATCGGCCATTCTCCGCGACATCTCGCCTTCGTCCTTACTGGAACAACGAGGACCGATCCTGCGGGATCTGCCATCGACCCCCGTAGCCCGTCGATCAGTCTCATTCTGTGCAGCCAAGCTTTATATGGCTAAATAGTTCGTGCGGCAAGGGCCAATATATGACCCACTCAAGCATGCAATTACCCAGCAGGCCTTGTCTGAAGGCAGGCAGCAATACAAAGGGATGCATAACAATGACGGGCTCAAGCTGGAATCCTTATCCATGCCTATCCCTTGCCAGCTTTCCGGAGGTTTCCATCCTGCCAAAACTTCTAAATTTGTCCCGAAAGCCATTCTAGCAAGTCTTGACAGTGTTGAGGACTTACCAGATCAATGAAGCTATTAGTAGACTGGGCTTCTCTGCGCAAGCCTTTTGAGACTTGTCTAGAGAGTTGAGGCATCCTGTTTCTCTCCGGTCAACCTACCTGAACTGTCCTTTGGGCTCGATTTCGAGAAAGGATGTTACACCCTATTCTCGATATTGATAACTTCAACGTTGTATTGGCGGTAATAAGTATGGACTTTTCAGGGCAATTTATTGGATGATCGTCGCTGACTCACTATCAATCAAAGGCACATACATCCTCCTGTTCGGATTCATATCGCTGAAAATCAAACAAAGATGGTACCTGGGTGAAGCTTGTATGTTTGCCTTTCTCGAAGGATCGTATTGTTGCTGATTATGACTAGTGCCTGCTTTCCTGACTGGCATCGCTTTTGGACCGGCCGCGGCGAGGTTTCTCAAGGTTTCCCAATGGGCCGGTGACGATGGCGATGGGGACCACGATATCACATACGTACGCTCTGCCTGATCTGGGTGGTTATCTGGATAATTGTATGCTGACTTGCCTAGGACTTGGCTCGCCTGGTCATTGGCATTCAATTAGTCAAAGTTGGATATCAATTACCAAAAAAATATTTGAAGGAACGGTTCAAGGAAATGACCATTTGCTTACTTCCACTTACTGCCATCGGTTGGCTTGCGACATCTGGATGCATCATGCTCATGATTCCACGTATTTCCTTTGTGCGTCGGCTTCTGTCATCCGTCGTTGCAATCTATTACTGATGTTCGCGAACAGCTATCTGCTCTTATAATCGGCTCCTGCGTAGCATGCACGGATCCGATTCTATCTCAAGCAATTGCCAAGGGCCCTTTTGCTGACAACTATGTTCGTCGTCCTCTCCGTGAATTCATCTCGTCGGAGGCAGGGGGTAACGACGGCTTTGGCTTCCCCTTCCTACTACTGGCTGTGGCGCTGTTGCGGTATGCCGAGGCACCTGATAACACAACCAGTCTGGGAGAGTTTGATTTGGCAAGGGGGATCCCGGACTCGCTGGGCACGGCTGATATCGGACGTTTCGGCGGTGGAGTTACCCGCGCTTTGAGGCACTGGGCTATCGAAGGCTTGCTCTATATGATGGTATTGGGTTCGGGATATGGTGCTCTCATAGGCTTCGTAAGCCGCAAGCTTCTCAATATCGCTTCTAAGAGGTACGTAACGGATGACGTGCTTTCGAGCTCCGCTTACCTCTGAACAGGAGATGGATCGACAACGAATGTTTCGCCCTCATGCCTGTGGCTGTCGGAGTAAGGTTATCTTTATTGATGGTAGAGCAGCACTAACGACGTCATTTAGTTATTCATTGTCAGCACCTGCGGTTGCTTCGGCTCAGATGAGACGTTGGCTTGTTTCGTGGCCGGGAACGCATTGAACTGGGACGGTCTGTATCACGCCGAGTCGCAGACGCGGCATGACGCCTTCAACTCGACACTGGAAACGCTATTGAATTTCGGGATCTTCATGTACCTCGGCGCGGTAATGCCATGGGACCAATTTCATATGCCGGACACGACGGGCATCACCGTTTGGCGGCTGACCGTATTGGGATTTTTGATCTTGCTTTTCCGTCGTATGCCGGCGATTCTGCTCGGTTACCGGTTTATGCCGAAGGTGTGCAGTAATTGGAAGGAAGCCTTGTTCATGGGATACTTCGGACCGATTGGTGAGCCTTGCCGCCGTGGCATAAGACCTGAACTAACGGATGTGAGCAGGTGTGGGGGCGATTGCATATGCAGAATACACTCGTCGATTATTCCCAGCGCCTGGGAAGAGTGATCGAGAGATCAATGACTTGACTGCTGCCATCTCTCCAGGTATGATATCCGTTTTTGTCTTTCACCGAGAGTAAATGTGTGTTCTGACCTTCCCTTAGTTGTATACTGGTTGGTTCTATTTTCGATCATCGTCCACGGCTTGTCCGTCCCCGCGCTCAACGCTCTATACAGGATATTCAAGGTCCCCTGTATCTGCGACCACCCGGTGGAAATCGCCCTCCTCTCTGAGAACGAGCCCCTCCCGAACAATAGTACAGTCGAACCAGGGCGACACTCGATAATCGTGAACAACCGCTTTTCCCGCGCACCAGACGAGGAAGTGCAAACGCGACGATCCTCCCGCGACGATACGGAAGCAATACTAAGACAGAGCGAAGAAAGTGCGGATCGGCCCTGCACACAAGAGTCGATGCAAAAAGTCGACCGAGCAGTTGATACGAGGGATATGGTTTGATTATCACGTTCTTCTTACGATAGACAGTTTATTTAGAGTCGCGACTCATAATGAGAATCAGAAAACTTCATTCCTATCATTCATCATAACATCATGCACGGTGCCACCCCCCTCCCGTCTAAAAACAAACTCCACAGTCCACAACCCTAGTCAGTTCGCTCAGGAATTCAAACGGGGCATGTCTATCGCCGTCAGCCATACACCATACGCTCAGCCATGCAGATTGCAAGAGATAAGGTACCTTTCCACAAGAAGAGCAAGTCTTATTCTCGCCCGAGATGGAAGCACCGCAGGAGGGACAAGCGTTGTGACCGGCCATTTTGAGTTGCGAGGTATCTAGATCTGAAGATCTAAACCACGGGTGAGGTTAGCTTGTTTGGACTCTCAATACAGCAATGCAGACATACCTTGTTGATGAATGCGAGGATAGTTTTTGAGTACCTTTGTGGGTGAAGATGAGACAGGAAAGGTAAGTAGCGAAGAATCAGAGAAGAAGATAAGGTAAGACGCAGTGGTTTGTTTTGCTTGTACCCCGCCGGCTGTCAGTGAGTGCCCCGCCTTGGGTGCTTGTGGTGATTGGTCTGTAGAAGTTGTCCAATGGGCAGCTGATTGTTTCTAACTATGTAACAGGTGATGAGAAGGTATATGTGAGGATGAGCAGGTGACTATGGTAGTTAGGAGTAGATGAGGGCAGTTCTATTCGTAGATAGTGAGCTTGGTGATTTCTACTTTAGTTGTGTATGGTTTGGATGGGTTGAGGTTCTTTGAATATATATCCTTCAAGAGTGAGGAGTTGTATAGATAGCGAGTAGTATGTGAACAGACATTATGGGAAGATGCCGTAGTATGCATACGTTCGTGTCAGAGTCTTCTTTGACATAGCCATGCCAATGCAACTCAATCTAATCCCATGAATTGCCTGTTTAGGAAATCTGTTTGGTATCACTATCCCTTCATGTACACAAGCATAGCACTTTTGCGAGAAACAATGCTTCATATTCCCGACAGCATTGATGTAGTTAGGCAATCCATGAGGACTATATTCGAAGACATCAACATTAGCCAACCTATGCGTCCGGTCCTACGACCCGATCTCATATGCGGGCAGTCACAGCCCTCGGATCAGGCGCTGCTCTATAATCGAGGAACTAAGAAGAACAGCTCGGCCACCCGAACCAAAGCCAACGTGTCAAACAGACTCCATTCAGTGGATACTTCAACCCGGTTGGAATTCGGGATCGGGAGGATGCCATTGCTACTATTGGGTCATGCTATGGGGATACGGGTGGGTTTCCTTTCACTCTGCAGAACTGCTGGAGCTTGGCGGTCTCCATTGAGCTGTGGATTTACCCTTTTGACGAGATCGGGTTTCCTTGGAGGAAGGATACTCACTGTCGAAAACAGCAATAGAATTCGGTTGTAGGAGTTGAGTTGTTCGGGGCCAAGCTAGGAGCAAGGGAGCTGTATAGAGCTGTTCCGAACTGGTCTGGTGACTCCAAAGAACTGCAGTCACGAGCTGCAAGCCATTTTTTGCAAAAAAGCCTAATATGAGCATAGAAAGGGGATATCCAAGCACCAAATACTCGGAATGGCTGAGTTGAATCTATTCGTTAGTTCCCATGATAAAAAAGCATACTCCGTCTTCATCGTCGACAGATAGTCGAGGCTATTCTTAGATCCCGAAATATCGGATTGCGTCGGAGCTTGGAAGTCTCAGCTCTGTTGTAAGCCTGTGAAAATTCCTGACGAGCTACCAAAGACCCGAAAAATCAGAGAAAAACCAATTGCGCACTATTTTGTGCGACATGAGGCATTTTTCGATGGGAACATTCAGAATTCGATTCCTGTTATCAAATAGCTTCCTAAATCTTCCGCATTGGGAACAGACTGTCTCCACTTGGCATGCCTGCCCAACTGCACAGCCCGCTTGTTCGAAATTGATAGATACCTCGATTGTTTGAAATTAGGGGCTTTGAGCACATCTAGACTCTTGTCTTGTTTCTTCTGATCTCAACTATTCCTATATTCTCCGATGAGTACAGACCCTATCTGCCTAGACACTGTATCGACGGTCTAGCCGCTCAATTTCTCGCAGTCAAACAGAACTACTCCTAAAAGATCTGAGGTCTGCAATTTTATCACGGTCGTAGCACAGCCTCAAATTCAGGGGCAGATGTCCATTTCAGTCATGGCGCAAGTAGCTATCTTACCCTTTTCGACTAGATCACCAGATAACAGCTCAAGAGTCTAAGACTTATTTAAGAGGTCCGGGGAAGGTCCGCGTGGTCCAGGCGTCCTGCGGATGCGGGGTACAGCAGTATTTCCTGCCTTAGGCTCCCTAGCTCACGCGCCAGAACAACTGTAGCAATGTATCAAGCATTGTCATTGGAGCTTACCTAGCTTTCGTATAACTGACTCAGTCTCCGTGGGTTTTCACATCTGCAGCTCTTGGCTGTGACCAGCTGAGTGAGAGCTGAGTCCTAGTGTAACTACAAGTACATTTACTTTAGAGGTTAATAGTGAATTGTAGCCTTTGTACTGCCTAGGTTATAGCCATTCTCAGCTTCGTAGTCTAACCCGAAGGGGAGGAAAACATCATGGGGTCTTCGGAAGGCTTGGTCGATCCTAGCAGAGAAGCATCTGTTTCTCACGTGGTGCTATGGATTTTCTGCTCCACATTCATCTGGACTGTCTCTGCGATAATAATGGTTTCCTCCTGTATCTTCGGTTCCAAGTATTTCGCCCTAGCATCGAGACTGAAGCAAGCAGAATGATCGGAGGAAATCGTCAGTAAAAGGCTAGAGTCTTTGGATACATCAGATCAAGGATGTTTGTTGGCAACCCTTGTAGATGCAATTACGCCTACTTGCAGTTGCATGCCCAAGTAACCAACGATAATCAAAGCGGTTCCCTTTTGAAATTTAGTTCCCTTGAAGCGACAAACCAAAATGAGCAAGCGGCAATATCTTCTGCCCATGACGTTGGGATGCCAAATCAAAGCCTGTGATTGGCTTCTGCAACCGGTTTCCCTCGGCTCGCGATGACTAAGGGGTTCGCCTCCTTCCAGGGTTGGCATCGTGACCCCAAACTATCAGTCGGGGATTTCGTCATGATTTTCATTGTGGTCGTCGAGTCGGCTGCTCTGAGACAATACTGCGGTTTCCTGGACGAGATTATTATGAAAATCCCGTAGAAGAATTAGTCGTGTCTGACAGTACAAGGACAAGAAGGATTTCTATGTTGGTTTCGGAATGGCTTTGTCGCTTTCGTTGTTCTGGACCACTCAAATTTCTATACAACAATCAATGTTAATGCAAGCAACCCAACTATCCCATCCAAGACTAGAGGTATTTGTTCAAGATACGGTACTAGCCGATAACTCTGCACTCCCCGCAATCTGGGCCTATAGTAGCCCCTGATCTTTTGCCTCTTGAAACCAGCAGGCCTGGCTGTCCCGCTACTGAGATCATTCAAAACGTCATAACTCCATTTGACCGTCAATGGATTCAGGTTCAGTACTGCGTAGAGACAGAAAATAGCAGAGGGAATATACTTTGCCAACAAGCCAGATGGAATGGTATGAGCTACCGTAATAGCTGTAAGACTGGTTCTGTATGTGCAGACTCCAAATAAATCTGCTGCGTTCGGCTGCTGGAATGTTGTCAAGAGTTGCACTCTGCATTACACGTTATTGGGAGCTCGAGAAACCTTCGCAAATACAGTACTGACTAAACTGCCAGTAGACTACTACGGAGTACCTGCATTACTCTCGCCTCGTCACTCTTTTCCCTTGTTACAACGCCTCGCTGAATCTCAGCCCGACGCATCTATCCGTGCGTTATTATCCATTATCCACGAGTCATCGAGAATAATTTATCCCTTTCCCGATCAGTCCTCCTTGCAGCGCTAAGTACGTCGTCTTTGATTTTCTTTTACTTCTTGTTGGTTGGTGGTCCCGACCAGTTGTTCCGTAACCATTTCGTGCCCACATCTGGGGTTCGGGTCAACTCGGACAGGCTATGAGAGGCATTTTTGTTCACTCCACGGCTAACCATCATCGCTGCAGACTCGTTCCTCAACCCCGACATCACCCGCGGAACTGTGGAGAAGCATATCGGATAGTATCCTTGAAACTGTCCTTAAGACCTGTATCATCGTGAACATGGCTCCTGCTGAGAACATTCATATACCCCGTGCTTCCCGCCCCGAACCAGGTCCTCTCTACTCTGATTTCTTCCAACAACAAGTCGCAAAGCAGCGCAATAATAATTATCATTCGACTTCTCTAAGAAACATGGTTGCCACATCAGTTAATCGCACTGCTCTGCACCCCGGTGGTGTCCAGTATGTCTTCCCTTATTTACCTTGCTGCCTTGTGTGAATCCCCTCAAGTGCCCTTGCCACTGCCCATCAGTGTTCATGTTCTCTTCTTGTCTACCCTCATCGAGCCACACTTCAACACAAACAAAGTGACCTCCCTTTCGCTAACATATACTTCTACCAGACCGGGCAAGAGCCACACTGAACTCGAGGAGGAGCTCCACGAGCACGCCCACATTGACTACGAGCGTGTCGCAATCGTAAGACTCCCCTCAGGCCTCGTTGCATCCCTCTTTTGCGATGTACTAATCGTCCTAGATTGCCAATCCCTCCGTCGCTGCCCTCTACGAAGATGCCCTCGTCTACGAAACAGGTACTGCCATCACATCGAGTGGCGCCTTGACTGCATACTCTGGTGCCAAGACCGGCCGTTCTCCTTCAGATAAGCGTATCGTCAAGGAGGAGTCGTCAGAAAACGACATTTGGTGGGGACCTGTTAACAAGCCTATGACACCTGATGTAAGTGATATCTTTTTCATTTAAAATCGCGCATAGTCTAGTATATCGCGCATTCTTCTCGGTTGTTGCCCCTTGCAGTGGATTTCTTGCAGCACTCCCGGGGTCCCCTGCACATGCATACCAAAGGGGTCAAGCTTTTTTGGCAGCACAGGTGTGACATCAACTCATTTTCTGGGAAATGCCTCAAATGCCTCGTATCCCTTTTGAGGATGTATATGAGGCATTTATTTCACATGCTTTTGTGAAACAGAAAACTGCAGCTTTGCCTGCATTTGTGTGGTCCCGTGCCCCTGGTCGATTCTTCAGCTTTCTCCGCATTCCCCCGCCCTCGGCTCAACCTTCGATCACGTGCATTACATCACCACATTTCATATCGATAGGGCTGATGACTAACCGAACTATTGTTAGGTCTGGCGTATCAACCGTGAACGTGCTGTTGACTACCTCAACACTCGTAACCGCATCTATGTTATCGATGGTTATGCCGGCTGGGAT